TTGATTGCTTATGATATTATGAGCTTTTTATTCTTCCTGGTTGTGTAACAGTACTAGATAGTAAATCAGCATCTCATCTTCATTATTTCCGTTAACTTTTACTTCATTCCTCTTGAAGATCTTCCAACTTGCAACTTGCAGCTTGCAGCTTCCGTCATCTAAGTTTTAACCTTACCCCGCATCCAAAGCTTCTTTGAGCTCTCTCGAAATACATACTCCATCCCATCCCAATCAAATCAGTAGATAATTATCCAACATCTCATCATGGATCCCAATCAAATGAACATTCCCCCGATGAAGGATCTTACCATCGATAACATTACCGAAAACACCGTAAGGATAAACTCTCAAGGGGATAATGAACGTCTCATATATGTTATGGAAAGACTCGTTACCCATCTTCATGATTTTGCAAGAGAAACACGGTTAAGTACCAAAGAATGGATGGCTGCCCTGGATTTCTTGGTGAAGGTGGGACAGATATCGAGTGATGTGAGACATGTATGTTGCATCTCCTTTTTTTTGTCACGCTTGATCTCAAAAAGGAAAAGAAAAAGAAAAAGATATATTTATAAAACCAAACAGGAATTCATCCTGCTATCAGATATCCTCGGTCTCTCCCTCCTAGTCAACGCAATCGATCATCCCAAACCCCCCGCGTCAACCGAAGGATCCGTTTTCGGTCCCTTCCACACCCACGATGCCGAAACTATGGCATCAGGAGACCAGATGTCGCATGATCCCCAAGGCGATCCCTGTATCGTTCTCTGCACCATCAAAGACGTGTCGGGAAACCCCATCCCTGATGTGAAGATCGATATCTGGGAGACGGATTCCACGGGACATTATGATGTGCAACGTGAAGTTCGAGATGGACCCGATGGGAGATGTATCATGCAGAGTGACGTGAATGGAGAATTTTGGTTCAAGGCCATCGTACCTGTTCCTTATCCGATTCCTCACGATGGGCCCGTCGGTCGGCTTTTGAAGCTGTTGAAGAGACATCCTTGGAGACCGGCGCATATGCATTTTATGTTTCAGAAGCCCGGTTGGGATCATCTTATTACGTTCGTCTCCTCAACTTCCCCATATATTGCTCGCTCGGTACTGATGTGATTTTGCTCAAAAGTGCCCTATATATTCGTGGCGATCCATACGAATCTTCCGATGCAGTATTCGGGGTGAAACAATCACTAGTCGTTGATTTTGAACCCGCAACCGCCGATATTGCAAAGAAGTACTCGGTGGCCGAGGGATCAAAAGTCTTGAAACATGATTTTGTTCTAGTGAGCGAGAAGGAGACGGAGGAGTTGAGAGATCGGAATGCGTTGAAAGCTTTGAAGGCACTGGGGATGAAAGTAAAGTTGTTGGATCATTTACCCGTGCCGGATCTTGATTGATCTATTGAAACTCCGATCTCAAAGTTTTCAGATGAGAGCATTTCTAATCTTGCTTGACAATTTGAACGTCCGAAATAGTTTCTTGGTGTGCTTGAGCGAAGAATCGCTTCAGTGTTTAGAAATCCATCAAACATTTTAAATTCATCTCTAATCATATCAAGGGATGAATATTATGAAATCTCATCGTCCAAACCAAATCCAAACATCCAAAGTTCAGTTGACAAAGGGTTTGAAATAAATAAAAATCGAGTCCTCCACAATATGCAATATGCAACATCAATAAAGCATCCCATCAAAAAAGGAATCCCAGTCTTCCACAATCTCAAAATCTCACAACCCCTCGACAATCTCAAGACCAGTAAACACAACATAAACACCCCCCAAACCCGAGCCGCAACCCAAACTCCATCTGATTTGTTTACTTCTCCCCTTCACATCCGCAATCCGGATGAACTCCAGTCAATGCCGGCAGAGCACACAAGACGGCACACAAGACGGCAGATAACAGTCAGCGGGCACCACCAACTCGGGGACTATATCCTTACGTATCCTTATCCTCTCATTCCTTAGATTTTCAACCAAGCAAAGCAAAGTAAACATAACCAAAACATCCAACTCCTCTTTCGAGTATAGTTCGAAATCGCACGATGTGCAACAAATGAAATCCTGAAACCCTCACGCCTCCGGGTTTAGAATGAAAAAATTGAAAGATTGGGGTTTGGGACGGGTTCCTATGTTCTTTCCCCCGTCAACGCGAAATCGGTTGGTTGGTTGGTTGGTTAGTTTTGATGTTGGGGATTGAGAAGGTGAGAAGGGAATGGTTGCGCAAAGATTTTACTTTGAGGGGGGGCGGAGGGAGGAGGGAGGTTTTCTGTCTTTTTTGGCGGCTGGCTGGCTGGCTGATAGATACATACATACGTACATACTAGGTAGGTAGGTAGGTAGGTAGGTAGGTAGGTAGGTAGGTAGGTAGGTAATCTTACAGTATGCGTTGGAGTTGAAGTTGAAGTTACCCGGGTTATCTGTCTACTGGGTGAGATGGATGGATTGGGATTATATTATATTTTATTGTATTGTATTAATAGGTAGGTATCTAAACTCAATTCAAAATCCCGCCTCAATGAGATTTTTCATTTATTACCCATCTACCCACCTATATATCATGCATCTATACCTCTAGAATAATAGAACGATTCATTTCCCATTTCCCATCGACTACGAATACCTGTACCTACGAGCTTATATATCCGAGTCGAAGCCTGGCTTCCTGTACTTCGGAGATGGAGAAGGAGAAGTGAGGTGAAGAAAGTAGATCTGCGGAATTCTTAGTATATATATATGGACATTCACTACCTACCTATCTACCCACTCAATTATAGTAACTCGTAGTTGACAAATCAGGGAAGAATTTGAAAAGAAAGTTCCCAAGTTTTGTTGCATATCTGAAAATTTGTGAGAATCTGTTAGAATCTGTCGGTCGGTCGATTATAAGCAATAAAGTAGACTCAATAGAGGTTGCCTAAGTTTTGTTGCATATCTGAAAATTTGTGAGAATCTGTTAGATTCGGTCTGTCGGTCCAATTGTGAGCAATAAGCTACCATTCTGAGTAGACTCAAGAGAGTTGGTCTAAGTTTTTGTTGCATATCTGAATCGATCGTGATGTGTCTATAACGAAGAGTTTGGAGAAGAATAGGTAGGAATAAGAAGAAGAAGAATAGGACCTCACTAAGTACACTAAAATTCCGAGTATAGATGATCTATCTAATGGGTTTTGTTGTACATCTAAATTTTGAAGAAGATTAACGGCGTCGATTATGGGCTACCAGCAAGGTTGCATAGAGCTTTATTATCGCTGCTAAGTCCAGGAGCCCTTACTTGTTACCTGTAGGCAATAGACTCAAGACTTAGGTTTCAATTTTAATAAGGTTGGATTTACTTGTGTTTAGCGTAGCGGATGTCGATTTGCAAAGGTGTCTATTAACGATGTGTGTTTGACGTAGAGGGAGAATGTGGAGGGAGGTATATGGAGGGAGGTATATGGAGGGAGGTATATGGAGGGAGGTATATGGAGAGAGGTAAATGTCTAAGGGGTCTGAGAACTTGGAAGTGAAGTTGAGAGTGGAGTTGGGGATGGGGATGGTGTCTCATATCATAGAGCAGAGAGAAGGGAGAAGGAGGAGGTTGGAATAAGAGCACCGGGGGAAGGAGAAGAAAGGGGGGTTTAGAGATTAAGATGGATAAGGAGAGTCGAGAGAGAAGGATAGAACACTAAAGAAGAAGACACTGAGAGAGAGAGAGAGCCAGGGTGTGAGAGGAGGGAAATGGGGAGGAGGGAAATAAGGTGAAGAAAGCCTTAATAAGGAGAGAAGTGAAGTCAAGAGAAAGATGATCCGTAATGAGAGGAGTATGGGAGTGGGAGTGGGAGTGGAAGGAGAGATAACGAGGTAGGATGAAGTTGTAGAGAGAGGGAAATAGATTACAGAAGATGGGGAGATGTATACATTGATTGTGATGCTCAGAACCCTGACGATATCAAAGTTTTCAAAAGACGGGACTGCAGTTCATCGAAAGACTTCAAAATTCGAAAAGACCGTGAGTCTTCAAAGTAAATCCAATCATTCAGATGAATTGTATCTTTCAAATGGGCCGCGTATACCATATAAGATCAATATATCATAATACAGACAAGGAAAACAACCAAGGAAACTCCAACTAGAATAACGCCTATAACCTGCACCAGAACAGCCTCAAACCCCGATATCGAAATGCCAAGTAGAGCGAATAATTTCCCGTCAAATTAAGAAGTGGAAGCAGAGTTGATCCAGCCCCAAAGCAAACACTTCGACACACACATGGGATTGTCTCTCTCCCTTTACTATTCCACATAACTCTGTTATGTACTTCCCACGAAACAGCATAGTGTATACAGATTCTCTCCTGGACTCATCATATCCATTCTGTAGATAGTAGAGTGATAATACCTAGATTAAAACTTGTGCATGGAACTCCATTCCACGTTACAGCTCAACTCAAGAGACGAAAAAACAGAAAAAACAAAACAAAAAACGTAAGCTTGCTAGTTAATAGCAAGATGATCGACTGCGGTATAGCTAACTACAGCCGATCAAGAGAATAGAGAATGGAGACTTGATTTCTACCTACCTATGTTGTATATCGAGGTTATGGGGTTAAAGTATTGTATGTAGTGAAAGAGCTCTTCTCTGTACGTATCAACGAAGAAAATGGAGAAGAATTTGGCATTTCAGTGTCTGGGTTTGATGACCTAGTAGGTATCAATAGGTTATATTTATATATAAATGATAGAAGAAAAGCACACTCTGTAAATGATGATAACAGTTAGGTTGTCAAGAAATATACAATTTGAAAGATTAGGTAAGTGATTTCGTTCCAATTTTCAGAGGAGCCCCGCACACTAAGAAAAAGCCCAACCAAAAAACCCCACATACCTTCAATATATACTCAAACCACACCCACACATCCAGCAAATAGTACAAACACTACACAAACCGGTACGCACAGCGTTCGCATTCCGACAATCTCCTAGAGATCCCAAGAATGAGTCAGCTGGTAGTGATACAGGCCTGCTGGCCCAATGGCAAGGCGCTTGACTACGAAACACTCAAAAATCTTGAGTGTTTGAAATCAAGAGATTGCAGGTTCGATCCCTGCGTAGGTCAATATTCTTTTTGAATTTTTTTTCTTCATTCTTTTGTTCTTATTTATTTTTTGGCCCTTGATGTTGACGAGGAGGAAGAAGGAAGGTTGTTTTGTTCGACTTTTTTTGGTGGGGGTTTTGGAGGGGTATGTAGGATGGACTTCGCTTCGAGAAAAGGCTCGAATGCCGATCCCGGTGAGCTATGCCAAAGGATTTTGTCACGATTTCTCAGCGCAGCATGCCTAATAACGGTTGGAAATTGAGTATTTACACCTTAAGTCCTTTCATATCATACATACACTTTCATTCTACAATTTTAACTCAAGCAAACCTCGGAAGGTCGACGTTCATTCCTTGGAGCAATCAACCTTAATTAAGTCCAGTACATGTTCTCGATATCAGCACCCACGTAGACCCAAGAAATCTAGATGAGGTTCTAGTTTTTGATTTATTGTTGTGGTCTTGTAATATACAATATGTAAGAGATTCTCTGGGATACTACGGAGGCTCTCAGTGTAGAAATTCATGGAGATTAGACGTATGCATAGATAGATTTCAACCTCTTTATCCCCAGAGTAAACATATTGCAGAACACATCATACCAGTTCTGTCCCAGAGAACCAACCCGTGGAGATTTTCTTTCTCGCCCTCCATCTGCGCCATTCATACCTAGATTCATCATAAATATCATATTTCAAAAACCAAACGCCATATCCATGAATGTTGTACAATGCTTATGTCCATTTCCATTTTCAGCCCCGAGACTCAAAGACTTCCACCAGGTATTAATTTTGTCCCGCTCTTTTTGATATCCTCTTTCCTCTGTTGCATCTCTTGCATTAATTTGGCTTGTTCTTCTATCTTTCCACTGCGGCTTTTTCGGGCGGCTTCTTCGGCTTCGACCCAGACTGTAAGTGGTGAGGTTAGCATATTCCTTTCCGTAATTATATATTCTGTGCTCCAATCTGCAAAAGCCCTCTTATATTGTCCCCCCGTAGCCGGTAACCCCTTCTTCGATCTCTCCCTCCAACCTTCAGGGCATCATCCCCCTTCACACCGAAGGTCCCCGAACCATCTTCCGCCACCCCCAATCCCACAAAGAAACAAACAAAAAAACATACTCGGCCTATCACTCTTACTATACTCCTTCAACCTCGACACAAAATTATCGAAATCCTCCTGTTTGCCCACTCGATTTTCCAAACTGCGTTTTTGAAGTTCCGGATTGTATCTTAGGAAGAGCTCTTCTTCCGTGGGGGAGACGTAGTAGACTAGAGCAGGTCCACCCACGCAACATGTAAGGCCACTGGAGGGGGGTTAGCTTATGTTAATGGATGTATAGAAATTATGGAGAAAGAGGGGGATGTAATTGAATTGAAGGGAGGAATGAGGGGAACATACGCAACGGCCATTTTGCCGTACATGCGCCAGTTTGTTGGTTTAGGTGGCATATTTGCTTGCTTGCCAATTCGATATACTATTCTTGTTCTGATGTGAGAAATCCGATCGAGTCAAAAAATTGGATCGGGAATTGTGGTATTTAGTCGGGTGAGATCAGAAGCTGATAATTATTTGATCGATGACATGATGATTTTCCCTTCAAAGCTGCAAAGCTAGTTGTGGCCGTGCTTTGAATGGGGAATGGTGGCGGTGTGTGGCGTAAGGAGAGACAAATTGGATGGGAGGGATTTCATAAGCATATGCGGTGAGGGGATTCGCTACAGTTGCCGTAACATGCGATGATCAGACGGGAGATCGCGGCGAGGTGATTGGATTTCGGTGATGCTGGGACGGAGTGATGCTGGAATTTGTGAAGTTAGGTATTTATTATGTTCATGCCGATACGGGTCTTGCATAGCATAGGTATGCTTACTGTACCTATGTTATGCCGCTTTGGAAGCCAGCTTTTGGTGAGAATGATAATCTAGATGATACTCCTTTCAATTCTTCGGTAGAAAGCAAACAATGTAGAAATCAATACCCGAGCCATTCATCAATATCTCAAAGGTTTTTCTATATGCTCCAGTAGCCAGAATCTTGCCTCGGACAATGCTCTATATAGTCCTATTGGTATGGAACCTGATACTGCGCATTGGTACCTACCTTTCTGCATTCAAGAAGTTCGGACGGCCAAGACATCTATGTACGTCGTAATGCTGTTACAGGATGACTCTCTACTTATAAACCCAGATCGCTCCAAGTACATACCATACATACATACCATTTACTGTAAAGAAGTCTTGAATCTTGATATCAGCTGAACTCAACATCATCACAAGATGTTCTGAATATCTTATGTAAACTCCGCCTCTCAACGCCATGTTTCTCATATTCTCCTTGGTATACCTAGATAGTGGATCTTATGGATCTCGTGGAGTAACCCTCAATATGCTGACTATAATATGCTAACCAATCGTTCTTCATTCGGACCTGACTTCAATTATGGCTGGTACTTTAATTAAATGTGACTGATGATGATGATGCCATTAGATATATCAGCAAGGGAATAAGGAAATTCATATTTGAGTAACAGCTTTTTTTCTCCTGAGATGAACTTAACTTCTGCATGAACATTGATATCAACAAAATTATATTGATTATTAGAAGAAATAGTTTTATCCTTCACCAATAACCAACAACATACCACATACCCGTACCTATTTTTGATAGAAAACCAAGAGGTCGGAATATCGGAATATTCAAAGCTTTGATACTGAAAATAGACTCCACCAACAACACGGTAGCTCTTAATAGTTCTTTTATACTGTGGCTCAAACATTTGCGACAGGCACAGCAAGAAGAAGAGGAAGAAGAAGAAGGAGAAGAAGCAGAAGAAGAAGAAGTACAGTAGTAACAGGAATGAAATCTCCCACCTCTTTTTTTTTATTCAAACTCAACATACACATACATTCAACATTGTCCCATACCCATCTCATACAACTTATTAGCGCCCCTGCCCTGCCCCCACTCCGCATTCTCATTCTCTGAGACGACCCCCCAAGCTCTCCAGCTGTCTTGGTATTGAATGTCCCTTTTTCAACTCCTTGTCAAAGTAAATACACATACGAGATCCTCTATCTACAACATAGAAAGATTGACATCAACAGAGACCCTCACTCGACTTTTTTCTACTCTCTCATAGCCTTGCATATTCTCAAGCAAAGGAACACCAAGACAATTCTCAAAACTGAGTTTCGGCATTATAACAACAATTCCCACTTCGAAGAAGGTGTACCCATTTTCGAAACATTGATCTTATCACCCCTTTCAACATCGACAATTCAATTACAATTCTTTGATTTACAGACCATCATTCAAGCCCACCGACTTTTTGAGATAAAAAAATATAAAACTCCAGAGGAATTGCTTTTCATGGATTGAACACTTTGAGAGTTGTTACTATTTGTTAATATTTTGCGCCAAAGAACCAGAGGGATAGGGGAGTTGAAGCTAGATCGACTCAGAAGGAGAGATAGTAGGAGAAAATCATGGCATATGATCAGGGTTATCATGAGCAGCCACAGAGGCCATACAATGGACAAGCTGCTCAAAGACCTGGAACGGCACAAGGATATCAACAAACTCCCCCGCAACAATATTCACAAGAGCAGTATGATGATTATGGTCAAGATGGTTATGGATATGAGAATTACGATAATGGATATGGGCAGAATTATAATGGTGGATATCAGGATATGAATGGTGGTGGTTATGGAAATACGAATGGAGGGGGAAGAGGTGGTTATGCTCCAGACATGAATGATGGACGTGGCAGGGGATATCCTCCAAATGTGAATGGGGGAGGTAGAGGTAGAGGTTATCCACCATCGAATCCAAATTATCCTCCACAACAAGAACATCATCCGAATGACAGACGTGAGATGCCACCAAGAGGAGGTGGACCTGGTCCAAATGGTAGAGGAGGGCCAATGCAAAGACCACCTCCAGATCGGGGTGGATATGGAGGGCCACAAGGAAGAGGATATCCTCCAAATGGTGGTCCTGTGAATGGAAATGGTAGACCAATGGATGGATCTATGAGATCTGGACAAGGACGTGAGTCAAAAAAATGATATGTGTTGTGAATGATTGTATTGACCTTTTTTTTTTAGCACCAAGACCTCGGAAACCTTTAGTAACACCCCCTATATCACCAGAAGATGGGTCAGCGACTTTTGATAGCCCCTTTCCTGCATTTCCTGGAGCAAAGAAAAAAACTGCAATGTCTGAAGAACAGGAAATTACCCAAAAAATGAGTTCAATGGATATCTCAAGCTCTTCCCATCCTAACAGACCTGGAACAGCTGGAAGTAGAGGACGACCTGGAACAGCCGGAAGTAGGGGAAGACCTGGAACGGCTGGAAGTAAAGGAAGTCATGATAATTTTGGACCAAGGAAGGGTGTGTCGATGGATGATTATGGAAGACCTTCAATAGATAGTCAAAGAAGTGCACCTAGAGGAGGGTATCCGCCCCATGGACCTCAAGGAATATCAGATCAAAGAAGAGGTCCGCCTTCAAGGGGAATGGCACAAGGCTCTCCGGCGCAAGGCCCTCCTAGGCAAGACTTTCCGGAGAGGAGAGGACCTCCCCCTGGGCAAGGATATGGTGGTGCACCAAGACAGAATGGTTATGGAGATCGTGATTATGATCAGTATGGAAATCCCATGTCACCAGTTCGAGATGATCGGGATAATTTTGGTCCTCCACACCGAAGCTTGACTTTGCCAGATGAACCTGGCCCTATGGGAATGGTACCTCCCACCTCTTCGATGAATAGGCCAGGGATGAGTGCACCATACAATGGTCCTCTTGGAAGTGGTATGCCGATTGTTCGACCCACCACAGCTACAGGATCAAGACCACCACCACAAAGATCATACCCAAACCAACAGCCTGTTCAACCTGTACCTCCTCAACAGCAATACCCTCCTCAACAGCAACACCCTCCTCAACAGCAATACCCTCCTCGGCAGCAATCCTCTCAACAGCAATACCCACAAAACGATTATTCAAATAATCC